CGGTCTTGGGGGTGGGTTTTACAAACCAAGTCTGAGCTGGGGCCCAGGCCGGGTCTTAGACCCCGCTAGGTTAAAAACAAGTACCGAGCTCTGAGCTTTGGTGCACGTGCAAAAGGTTTCTTACTCTCAGGCTTTACTTTACAGCTGCAGTTTAACACGATCGTTGCCATCTCTTCCCCACTCCACGGGTGATGTATATAGCGCAAATGTCCTCTGCTAAATATTCCTTCTAGAAGGAACTAGTCGGTACTTCTTGATATTTATAATTCATTGTATTCTTCCATTTGACAGAATGGTTCTAAAACTTAATTACATAAATAGCATGGATTTTTATTTTGGCTATCTATCTTTATACCTGTTTTATATCTAATTCTTCACATAGAGTGAAATCAGGCTTGCCATTCATAGCTTCTGTGGATATACTGCTCTGTCTGACCTCACAGCTGCCTGCCTCGAGCAGGAGGTTGGATTAGATGCTCCCCTTTCAACCCGTGTTATCTTATGGTCCTATGATATTATGCACTTTTATATTATTAAATAGAAAATATTTCATGGGATTAAACAACAGCTGGTCTTAGAATAAACGGTCAATAAAATGGAAGTTCCTTTTCCTGCATCCTAGGTGGCCTGTAAGCGGAACCGCTGCAGTACAGCATCTGCAGCGAAGACATTAAAAAGAAGGAAACATTGGAAATGACAGCACGAGACACAAACCAACAGTCACCAGTATGGAATTTCGGCAAAAATACGTAGAATGGGAAATAATATCTTCCATGACAAATCTCAGAAGATGTTGGGTTTATGTACTGCCTGGTTCTAGAAGTGCTACAAACCTGTATCCTAGGCAGTGCTGTGAAAGACAGTCTTCAAAAGAGTTGGGATTTATAATCCCGAGTCCCAAAATGGTTTCAGAGATTTCAGCACACTGTCTGTAAAGGGAAATCTTACCTGCTGGGGACTGTGTTCCAGCTGAGCCCCCCGCCTGCCGCTGGACACGGGGTTACCCCCGGGGGTCTGCTTTGGGGCGCTCGGGGGGCAGAGCCCAGCTCAGGCTTTGGCAAACCAGTCGTGCATGCTGTCCCGGGTTCAGCTGGGATGGAGTTAATTTTTCGTTTTAGCAGCTAGAATAGTGCTGTGGTTGGGGTTCAGTACGGGATTTGGTATGAGAAGAATGCTGATAACACACTGATGTTTTCAGCTGTTGCTAAGAAATCCAGGACTTTCAACTCCCCGTGTCCTGCCCCTGCGCAGGTGCACACGAAGCTGGGGGGGAGCACGGCCAGAGCACCGGCCCCAAACTGGCCACTGAAATATTCCGTATCAGACAGCGTCATGCTCAGCGGGTCGAGGAGGGGTGGCGGGGAAGGGGGGGGTTCTCTCTCGCTTCCAGGATTGTGATTGCGGGATCTGGGTATTTCAGGATCACTGGCCAGGAACGAGCTGGGTATCAGTGGGCGGGTGGTGAGCAATGGCACCGTGCATTGCCCGGCTGTGCTTTCTAATATTGTTATCGGTTTATTTCAATTATTAAACTGCTTTTATCTCAACCTCTGAGTCCTCAACCTACCCTTCACCTCTCCAATTCCTTCCCCATCCTGCGGGCAGGGGAGGGGGGGGGCGAGCGGCTGCGTGGTGCTCAGCTGCCCTCTGAGCTCCAACCACAACACGTGCGAAGAGTGGAAAGATGCTGCGTGTGCTGGAGGAAGGTGCCAGCCCCAGTGCTTGTCCTCCTCTTCGGGAAGGGGGCAAGCGCACAGGGTATGGTCTGCTTAGTCAGGGCGTGCAAATAGTTCTAGGTTTTTTTTTTCTGCAGCTCCAAATCCCACTCGTTTGTGGGAACCAAAAGCAGGGTTTGGGTTGGGCTGCAGGCTCAGGGTCCAGAGGAGAAACGCAGGTCCCAAGCCTGAGCCCAGACCCCGCGCTGCAGCAGCAGTGCTCGCCCCAGCGTCCCTCTCAGCAGCTTGATGCTACCACGTCAGGGGAAATGGTTGGTATCATTCTTCAGTATTCTTTGTGCAGTTTAATTGCATAGAAGCAAAAGAGAGCTTAACAGCTGCCAGCCTGTTCCTGCTTCAGTTAGAGTCATTATAGTCCTTCAGAATTTCAGCTAAATTAATTACTAGCCAGTTTTCTAATTAGCCAGCCTCTGTCTTTTAAGATTTTATGTGCCATGACACGATCAGTACACATACTAGCAAAACAATAGCATCACTATTTTAAAAATCAGTTGACATAATGTATAGGAGTTCTAGTAAGTAGTGCTGGGCTCTTGGATGCACAGGCACTAGTTTCTAACTTTGCACCTTTTTCATGATGCATATATAGTATATATTAAGAGAACAAGCATATATTTAGAGATGATAATTACTTGCTGAGTACCATGCCGACAGGGAATAGCTGTGTGGGTAAATGCCCCACTGGTGTGTACACAGGGAGGTATCCTTAGTGACTCAGTGCACTTAATAAGGAGCAGATGACCCTGCTCACCTCAGCGGACACAGCAAAACAAATAAATGAGCATATTAATCCGTAAGAACTGTCACTACACATTGTTTACAAAGAAAAATCACCTCCTGGCCATCGATTGCCCGGACACGGGATGCCACGTGCTGTACGGATGTGTCTGTGGTGGGGAGAGGGTGGCAGCACCCGACGTGCCCAGAGCTCCAGCCCTGTCCTGCGGCTTGGACCGGCCCCATCCCAGGCACGGGCAGAGCCTCCTCTTCCAGCAGACCCAGCCTGGGGGAGAACATCCTAACCCAGGGCTTCCACGTGCCAAAGCAACTTGAGCTTCTGCACAACTGTCTCCTGGGCTAAAATACCCCAAAGCAAAACCGTCGTCCTGGTTTATACAAAGAGACTCGAGGGTCACTTCCCTGGCAGTAACAGAATTGCTGGCGTTGCGTGCTGCTGGGCAAACCAGGCCTTGCTGTGACAACGCTGTGACAGGACCGTGCCCTGGTGTCGGGGCATCCCGGGCGGCAGCCACGCTCCCCCAGCACGCCCGCTCGTCCCACCTGGAGGGGCAGAGATGTGTTTCCTCCCATCGGTTCCTTCCGCGCGGGGCCCCAACGAGCCACTCCCCCCCCCCCGCTGCCCCATCGCAGCCGCGATGGAGATGCCGAACCGGCGCTTGCACAACCGGGCTGGGGCGGGGGGGTTGATGCCTCCCCACCGCCCGGCACGTACAGCCGTCACGCGGTGGTGGGAAGAAGCGATGGCCGGTGCCGCAAAACCGCCCCGTGACATCAAAAGCTGAAGAAAGACGTTTCCATCCCCTGTGAAGGTGACGGCAATCGCCAGAAGAGGAACTTCTACCGAGAAGGAAGGGTGCGCGGCAGACGGTGCCCCTGAGGGGCTGGGGGCACCGGGGGCCACGGCCAGCCCCTCGCCAAGGAGCTGCCCACCCAAACCCACGGACGCTGCACGGATGGCAAACTGAGCCGAGCGCGCTGGTCCAGCGGGTGGCAATATTCCCCACTTCGCTACACTGCTCCCACGAGTAACTCTGCCCCGGGGGGCAGGAGGGAGCCGGGAGCCCCGGCCGGAGCCACAGGCGAGGGGTCTGGCCGAGTCCTGCCTGAGAGACACGTGAGAAACCAGGCTAAACAGAAAGCGGGTTGGTGTGGAAAATGCAAAAATTTCTCTGTTCACACTCTCTCTCAAGCCCAAAATGGGCGGCAGCAGCGAAAGAAAATATAGTCAGAGTTAGGAGCTGACAACCATGAATCTCCGATGCAGGAAAAAAATTAAATACAAACAGCACATCCGGGTGCAGCATACGTGGTCTTTCCACTTCTGCTGTGGGATTACGTACACATTTAAAAAAACAAAACCTACCAACACATCTTGAGCCTCACGTAACCCATTCACAAGAAAAAGAAGCCACTGAGCTGATACAGCTGATATGTGATCATGGAAACCTATTCGCAACAAAAAGAAGCCACTGAGCTGATACGTGATGACATAAACCCATTCGCAAGAAAAAGAAGCCACTGAGCTGATATAGAAAAGCCCCAAATAGCTACAGTTTTAGAAAATAAACATTACCTTGAAAAATCCTGTTCTGTCCACGGCAATAGGCAAAGTGAGTCTACGAAAGGTGTTTCAGCTTAATATTTATTGCTGTATGATACTTTCCCTGGAAGAAAATTCCTCTTTAAGGCACTAGACTCCAACTTCAAAAAGGGAATATTCAACTCGCTTCTGGAAATCCTGCTCTTAGCTTCATGTGTATTTTTGCTGAACACGCGCAATGTCACACCCACCTGAATTATTGCCTCTTGGTGCTGCGTACAATGGTGCTTAAAAACCAGGAGGTATTTATAATGGAAACTCAAGTGCAGCTTTATCTGTCCCAAGCTCTGCTGCCATAACATGCATGATGGATCTTTTTTCCACCACTGGCAGGGTGATTTAGCGATTTACGCGTACAGATTTGTTACAAAGCAAACAGCGGGGGGAAAATAAGGATTTATGCACATTTCTCTCCAGTCCAAACTCTGGTTAGCACTCCCCGGACACCCCCCTCCCCGCCGGCACAGCCTGGGTGCTGTTTCCAGCCCCCCCAGCCCGAGCTGTGCAGAGCCGGGGTGAGAGCCAGCAGCAGCGCTGGGGGGGACACACCAGCCCCTCGCCCCCATCCAACTTCCCCGGCAGCGCTGCTGGAGACACTCGTGCCATGGGGCAGCAAAATCCTTCCCCCAGCACCACCGGGAGCTGCAGCAGCACCCTGAGCTCAGGGGGAGCACCTGTCACCTTGGGGCCACCCTGGAGGAGCACCAGCACGGGTATTTGTGTCAGGCACTTGCAGAGGGAAGCGGGTGCCTTATCTCTCAAATCTGACCAGACGAGTGCTTTTGCTCACAGCCGTGCAGGGTCATACTGCTAACGGGAAAAGGGCAGACGGGGCGGCTTCACCAACATTAAAGGCAACAGCACATAAACCAAAACACTCGACACAAAGGAGGCGCTTTTTTTTTTTTTTTTTTTTTTTTTTTCCCAAACAGGGTGCACAGTTTATTACAAGCAGGTGGTGGTATCAGTGGAACAGTTAAGCCTGCAGCCCGCCCAGGCTCTGCCCTGCGCGCTCGGGCACTCCCCTCTCCCGGCAGGTCCTTCCCCAGCCCCGGCTCACCCGAGCCTCTTGCTTCACGGAGCTCTTCAGCTTTTGTGTTTGGAGTCAGGTCAGTCCGCGGGAGAGCAAGTTCTGCTGCAGCAACAGTTCTGCAGGGACGGTAGGCAGAGAACTGGCTCCTCATCAGCTCCTGTTTCATTAATTGTTCCAATAATGAAGTTTGAACTGGGAAGTCCAAATTCTGCTTCAAGCCATACGTTCTGCTCGCACTTATTGATAATTACATTAAAGTTAAGTGAATCTATACTTTGAAAAGTGACTGTGAAAATGCCAGTATGAACTTGCATAGCTGTGCCAGTGATGTACGGAGGCAAATCTCAGTTAAAAACTAAAACAATAGATTTTTCTTATTTTCACTTCTGCAAGCTGAAGAGTGAAAGAGTGTGCCTGCACAGACACACATCTTCACTGTCCCAGTGCATCTGTGAAATGCTTGTAAGACCAGCAGCCAACGCTCCAGCTTTCTGCACTCCTCACCCTCGTTGCCAGCAAACCCAGCCACCGCCCCCGCTCTGCAGTGCCAACGCAGCCTTCCGCCCAGCCCTTTGCATACCTCCCTTTTTTTGCCGCATCCAAGAGGCCAGCCTTCACCAAATCAGGTGGAAATGTAAATTGGCCCAGTTATTCATTCCGAAAGGTAAATCTCCCAGGAGATGCAGAGTTTGCAAACACTTATAAAAAGATGATTCCACCTTGATCTTTGGGCTGTGTTGAACACGTGAATTAGTGCCCCGGCATATTTTATCCAAGCTGAGGTCCAGTCCACCACCAAATTATGGTTCACAAAGAAGCTACCTGAGATCAGCAAATTTTCCCTCAAAAAACTACAATGATGATCTTTCATTTACAATATTAATAGGCCATAGCGTGTCCTGCTAGGAGAGCAGGGCTTCCTGCTGTGCTGTTGTGAGAGAACACCATCACTTCTGGTTTGCTGGAATCTGGTTAGCAGGAGGAGCTCTCCTGCACAACAGGGTAACAAGTGCATTTAGAGGAACACAGTCACCTCAGGCATATTCTATATAGCATAAATAAAGTTATCTAAAGAAAAGTGGCACTGTACGTGGGTGAACGCTCTCTCTAAGAGAGTTTCCTCCCCCCGTCTTCCACTACAAGAGGTCTCCTTGTTCGTTCATTTGCCAGGGGTTGCTAACCTGCTCAAGAGCTGCCTTATTTTTGCCATCAGCATCTCTCTGAAGTGGTCACCCATTAAGAAATAAAAAACGGGATTAATGGCACTATTAAAAAACGCAATGGGTCTCGTGACAATGTAAACGGTGTTGATGATGCCCTGCGTGCACAGCGAGACGTTCAAGGCTGGTATTCGGGAAGCAAGTCGGACATTGCGCATTATGTGATAGGGAGTAAAGAGCAACGAGAAGATGACCACCGTGAGGACGACTACAGTAAGGGGCTTCTCAAGCGTCAGGGGGGAACTGAGCTGCTCACTCCTGTTTTTAAGGAAAAGAACCATCTTCACATAGAAGCAGCACATGATCACGAGAGGGATGAGGAACCCAAAGACAGTCAGGAACATGCTATAGATGAGGCTTTTCGTGGGGTCTCCAGAGCTTGCATAATCAAGACACTTGTAATTATTTTCAGGCGTTATAGGCTCCAGGAAATACACCAGCGGCAGCAGTTCTAGTATCACTCCGAGCCATACGGCAACAGACACGATAAGGGCCGTCTTCCTTCTTTGCAGAAAATGTTCTCTGAAAGGATATTTTATGAGCATGTATCGGTCAATACTGATAACAGTGAGGAAAAGGATGCTGCTGTACAGGTTTGCATGCAACAAGAATCTGTTGCTGTGGCACAAGATGCTCTCTGCTGTCCATCGATCGCTGGAGTAGCTGTTCACAAGTATTGGAAGAGTACAGAGAAATAATAGATCTGATAATGATAAATTGAACAGGTAGATGTTGCCGCTTTTCCAGTTTTTCAGGCAGAAGACATAGCCGAAGACAACAATGGTGTTTCCGATGAAGCCTAAAATGAACTCAAGGCTGTACATGGTGGAAAGATAATACTTTTCTAAGTCTCTGTTCATCATCAAACAGCCATCTGTCTCGTTCACAGCCTGGAAAGTCAAAAGAAAAAAAAAAAAAAACAAAAAAACAAACAAAAACAGACGTAAACACCAAAAATTAGTAAGAGATCATTGCATGGCTATTTTTATATTATTGCCATAATAGCTCAATATAGCATACTGTTTCCTTACATTTTATATGGTAAATAGAGATTTGAACTCAAATAATATCCCTTATGCACACAAGATTTCTGCTTTCAGCTATTGACCAGCAAGTTACTGAGCAAGATGAAAACCTGCGTGAGCAAAAACCTGTTGTGGGGAGTCTGAAGGAAGAGCAGCCTCTGAAGACATCTGCCATAACGTGCCAGCTGCCGCCTGGCCAAGCCCCTGACACTACCAGAGGTTGGGAAAGTGAAACTCGGCCGTCACCACTTTGTCACAGCCCTTGCTGGAAATCATCTGCCTCCCCGTTACCCAACCCCTGCCCCGTGGCCTCCTCGCTCATCACTAAAGCAGAAGTCCGCTGTCAGGGCTGATAAAGGATGAACTCATTAGCAGCAATTTGCCCCTGCTCATGTTCCTCGGAATTCATTAGGAAATCAGAAGAGAGCGTGTTTATTAAATTCATCGAACCGTTCATCGTGCACTTTGTACGGCTTTGCTGGTGACTCGGGCCCAGAACTGCACGGACGGTGCTGTGAGGGTGAGGTGCGTACGCTCTGCACCGCGGCAGCCGTGCCGGAGGGCTCCTGAGCCGTTCCTGCACTCACAGGGCATCTCTGCTCCCGGGGCTTTACAAGCACCTTCTCGGTTTTCTACAAAAAGCCCTTTCAAAAAGGGAAGGATCAGCTACAACTGGCGAGCCCTTGCTGGCATGAAAGCGGCTGTAGTCTAGAGGACAGAGCAGTCAAGTTCCAGATAAAAATCCTCTGAAGCCAAATTCACAAAATTAAAGTCACTTTTGTTACTAACTCCCAGCGAAGCCCCGTGCACCCCAGCTCGGAATTTCTGCTGAGCCCCGGGCCCCGTGGAGCGGCACACGGCCGGGCGAGCTGCCGGGGGGCTGCCCCCCACCCACACGGCTCAGCCGGGGGCCGAGGGCGGCTGCTGGGGGCACGTCCACATCCTTCGAGGAGCAAAGCTTTCCAGGAACCTGCGCCAGCTGTGAGTTTGCCCGAGGACAGATTTTGCTTGCTTTCTAAAGGCTGGTTAAAGAAGTGCTTGCAGGCTACGGGGAAAGAAATAGAGCAGGATCTCAAGTGCTGCCTCCTCTCCCTGCCCAGGCAGGGACACCTGGCCCCACCTGCCCAGGAACTGCAAGCAAGAACCTTTGGTTAAAATATTAGCAAAACAATTAGAAAACAGAAGAAAACAAAACGTTAGAAAAACGGCTTATAGATTAAAACTGAAATCAAGCTAAATCTAAGCTCTGAAAGAGCAGCGATGCGACTGCCACAAAATCTGCTAGACAGCCTCCACAAATCACGTAGTAGTTTTAAGTATTTTCAAGCTTGTTCTGGTGTCTATAATTTGTTAATAGGTCTCTGCTCTCAAAGCACTCTATTTTATTTCAAAGGTAGACCATAAGACAGAATAAAGTACAGCATATACAAAACTTCATGAAGTTATGTCCTGCAAATATCAACACTTAGACTGCATACTGCAGGAGACAAAAATTGTACAGCCATGAATGCTTACGCTGGTCAGAATAACATGCAGCACCTAGCCTAACCCTGGCTGTTCAGGCTCTTGAGATAAAACCCAGCACTTCAGTGAGATTTTAATTGTAAAAAACACTGCACTAACATTAGCACTTTAAATACAAATTATAATTTTAAAATTACTGTATTGACAGATACATCGATTTAGGTAGTTGTTAGGAAAACACTGATTAATCTGTTTTAAAGTAAGCAGATAGGGTAAGACAGTTAAAGGCTTCGTTCAGAACTGGCCTCGCTAGAGGAATAGCAGAGTGTTCTGACAGAGCGGTGGGGGGCACACCGGCCCCCCCCCAAGGACCCCTCGCCATCCCCGGGGGTGGGTGCTGCCCCCCCCCCCACAGGGACCCCTCGCCATCCCTGGGGGGGTGGGTGCTGCCCCCCCCCCCCCCAAGGACCCCTCGCCATCCCCGGGGGTGGGTGCTGCCCCCCCCCCCACAGGGACCCCTTGCCATCCCTGGGGGGTGGGTACTGCCCCCCCCCCAAGGACCCCTCGCCATCCCCGGGGGTGGGTGCTGCCCCCCCCAAGGACCCCTCGCCATCCCCGGGGGTGGGTGCTGCCCCCCCCAAGGACCCCTCACCATCCCCGAGGTTGGGTGCTGTTGCTCCCTCAGCTCTGCAGACCATGCCTCGGCGAGGACGCGGGGATCCCTGGGGTGCAGCGCTGCAGCTCCGGGAAGCCTGGTTTGCATATGATTCAATCATTAACGAGTCAAGGCAAAGGAGCGATTTGTTTGGCTGAGCAGGACGAGGGGGCAGCTTTCGTGGGAGGGAGGCGCTGCAAAGCCTTCGCTTCTCCAAGGAGAGAAGCAAACAAACACTTCCCCCTTTGCAGAAGCTGGTGTGGAAACGACCCAGGGGAGGCTGCAGCTCTGCTCCACGCTCCTGGGTTCTGATAAAGGGTTTTCCCTGAAATTCTCCTGGCCGGGGGCCGAGCCGCCCCCCCAGCTCCCGCCCTGCCTGGCCGGCGTCAAGGCGTCGAGCCCAGCGCTTCTTCCCCGAGGTGTGAGGAGGGAGAGGGCACTGCTCTTCGTCCCACGTGCGGAGAGGTCCCCAGGGGTGCCGGGAGGGCAAAGCCTGGTGGGTCACGTCCTGATGACACCCAGCCGTCCTCAGGCACGGGGCAGCCCCTCCTGGGGCACCCGGAGATCACCCCAACACAGGCAGCAGCTCAGTGGCAGTGCTGCAGTCAGCAAACCCGCGAGAACAACATATTAAGGCAGAGCGCTAAAGAAGAGCACTTGGTTTTCATAGAGTAACACATTTTAACTCTTGCTGGCTTATTCATCATTGGTATATAATATTATTATGTTTTTAACATCGAGAATAAATGCTGCTCATATAAAACAACTCTGCTCTACTGCAACTAAAGCGCCTGAACCAGTCTACATCAGCACAAAAATTGTTTCTTGGTTTCAAGCCAGGGCCGTTTTCACACGTAGTCTTGTTTGTATTTTTACCCGTGGATTACTGTCATCCACTGGTCAGAAACCCCAGGGCTGTCGGTAAGCGATGCAGTTCCAATTCCGGGAGGCAGGGCAGGCCCAGCCTGGGTGTCCTGCCTGGAAGTGCCGGTCGGTGCATGAGAAAGCGGGGCTGCTGCAGCTTCCTTGCGTGCGAGCGAGCACGAGCGCGATCTCGGCTGCGGTTGGGTCGAAGGCGGCGGGGGGGCTGCGCGGCTGGCCCGCGGGAGCTGCTCCCCGCCTGGGATTCCCACGGCGCCGGGCAGGCTTGGATCCGGCGGAGATTTTCAGAAAACCCCGCACTCGAAGCGAGGTTTCAAGCCAAAAACCTGCGGTGACATGACCTGTCAATCAATACACATTCATGACCAAACACAAAAGGCTCAGCTCTTCTTCCCTGGCTCGCGTAAGAAGTAGGGCTCCTTTCAGCCTGCTACAGAAAAAAGCGTTTCACTCCGCGTGCAGGCTGTGTTTGTGGTCACTTGGGCCTACTCTGCAGGAAAAATAAACCCCCAGCGCGTGGGGGGGGCGTATTAGTCACCCCTTTAGTAAGCCAGCCGAAAGCACCTCACGCACCCGCCGAAGGCCGCTCGCTCGGAATCGCTGGCAGACACCAAGCCAGGCGCTGCCGCACCCCGCGGGCACGGCCGGGCGGCCGCAGCGCGCGCCCACGCACGGGCCTCCCGCTGCTCCCTCGCGCAGGATTTCGATCGCAGGCGGCCTCGGGACAGCAGCAGCGGTGCCGGTGCTGCCGTCAGCTGGGCCAGCGGCTCCCCCCAGCCCCCCCCCCCCCGGGCCCAAACCAACTGGGGTTGAGTTCCGAGGCTTTAAGCGTATCTGAAAAACGCCGCGTTAGCCCTTCCCGCGGCTTGTGCGTCGAGGGCAGAGCTGCCCCCCGGCAGCAGAGCAGCCCCGGGGGTTGCATCAGCCCCACGGGTGATGGCAGCCCCCGCGCTGGGGAGGGTCGTGCCCAGGAGACAGGGACATTTGGGGCGCGGGGGGGTGGGGGGGTGTGTGGGCACCCCGGGGCTCAGGGCTGTGCTCGTCGCCAGCGCATCCCCGCTCCCGCCTGCGCAGGGAACCGCGCGCGCTCTGGTGCCCGGCCAGCCCAGGATCGGGCCCCTTCCCGGGCGTCCCCGCCTCGGAGGGCGTTTCAGAGCAAAGCTTCGAGGTTCTCCGCAAACACAGCCACCACGCAGCTAGCTAAAAATCACTTTTGAAAGCAATTTCCTTCCTTTTCAGAAGGAAAGGCGGAGAAGGTGCTGCTCACTTTTCTCCTCTCCACGTACCCAGGAGCCCGGCGGTGCGGAAGGAGCTCCTGTACCCGGGGGGCCAGGGAGTTCTCAGAAAGAAAATGATCCGATGCTCCAGACGACAAGTACATTCTGAAAAAGTGCGAGAAGAAAGAGGAGTGCCAGTGAAAGACAGAGCTCTGAATTTCCACTACGAGATTAAAAATCAAAAGGTCCCCCCAGCCCCTGCTCTGTCAGTTCCTCTGGCTGCAAGAACAAACCCGACCTGGGGCCCAGGGGCAGCACCTCCAGCCACGCTCTGGGCCAGGGCTGCAGCTAAAGTCACAGCCAGTTACTGGACTTTTTTTTTTTTATTAATGCAAACATGGGGCACAACACAAACTTCTATACATCAACAATCACAGTGGAAAGCCAGAAAGGAAATTAAATTGTGATCAGCATCTATTTGGGAACATGTGCCTCACCACTGCCCGTTGTGTGGCAATTTGGACAAGCCCAGCTCACTTTAACATGACTGTGTAGGATGGGTACTTTTAAAAAACACCATTTAGAAACAGCAGAAATGAAAATTCTGGGAAATTGCAAGTTTAGCAAGTATAGCTGAAGTAGAGTTACATCTCTTAAATTTAAGCCAGAATTTGTATGCCTCAGTTTTAAAGCATGAGTAAAAAGGCAGAAAAGAAGCTACAAATTAGATGTTAATGGCTGCAGGAGAACTATCATGAGCTGGAAAAAAGCTAAATAAAATAAACAGCTAACGGACACATTAGCTTTCAGTCCCTGAAATTTTGGAAATAATCAGCCCTAGCGTGTACTCAGCATTACTTCACCTTGGTGAATTATACAGAAGAGCAGTTTCTGAGTTTTACCAGCCCAATTCAACTACAATTTTAAAAAGGTAAGTCAGACAACAAACAGCTGCCGAAGCCGCTCCTCGGTGCCGCGGGCCAGGCTGGGGCTGCCCTTGGAGCAGCTGCCCAGTTCGACAAGAGCCGGGGGCGACCGGCGCTCTCCCGGTCAGGGCCAAACGGGAGCCAGCCCCGGGCGGGAGCAGGAGCTGCCGGGTTTGCTGGACAGCCCGAGCGCCCCGGCAGCGAAACTGAACAGAACGTGTGGCATCAACGACAGGAATAAATAGGGGCTTCCACTGTGCTCAAAGTAAGTCTTCCAGCTCTGCATGTCTTTCGCCCCAGCTACCGGAGGGATTTCATCATCTTTACTTCGATCAGCAGTAACTTGGCTATTGCGAAGTATTTGCATTTGGCTGATGGGAATGAGTCATTCAGGTTGACCTTGAGTGAAATGTGGTGCCTTTCCTGCAGAGCCTTTTAAACTGAGGATGTTTGTCCCCACTCAGGATTCGGCCCCGTGAGCAAAATGGAACATGGGAATATTCTTTCAGGTTATAAATTGTTACTAGGGGAAATTAATTAATACCTTGCCCTGGCCACCATGAACCAGTAGAGGAGAACTTTGCCATGACAACTGCAGCACATGGCTGGCCTCGGGCAGAGGCTGCACAGCCCGTTACCATAAGTGTGAAAGCCTAATGCTGCTTCTACCCTTGGTACAAAGAAGGAATAGAATGAAACGTTTACTTTGGTTTACCCGGGGCTTGTCTATATTAGCCCAGCAGTACCTGGTCCGCCTGTGCTCCGGACAAAATGTGACCTATTTCTCCTCTGCTTCAGTCCCCAAGCCGAAGCTGTCATGCGTGGACTCAGGAGCTCACTTGCCAGCTCCCTGCCAGAAAAATGCATCTGAGAATTTCTGTGCTTTCCCGGAATTCAGGTCTCCCTGATGAAGGGGCTGTGGCTGGCCCATTGCTTAGGGGATGTTTGTAGGGTGCTCCAGATAACCCAGATGCCAAAAGCCACCTGCACCCCAGCAATCTCGCTTCACCCGCGGTGCTGCTGTTCCTCCTGCCCGCACGTGGCACCAGGACCCCAGCTCCAGCCCGAGCCTCGCTGCTGCCCCAGGGCGAAACCTCCTGCTCTGCTGATCCCCGGGACAGGGAGCTGGGGGACAAGCGGGCACTGAGGAGCTGTCACCCCTCCAAGCACTCACCCCGCCGCTGCACAGCTACCACCCTCCGGCTGCAGCTTCGGGCAGACCCACGGAAGCCCCCAGCTGCCCCAGAGTTTGGGGTGAAGTTTTCCTGGCTCGACTCCTCCTGCTGAGCCAGCGTAAGGTAAAGTTCCCAACCTCCAACACTTCCCAGGGCTGGGCTGTGAAACCTCCAGCTCTGGCACGGGCGCTGCCCCGCTGAAGGAAAGCGGCGAAACAAGCACCTCCAGGCAGAGCTGGCTCAGAGACATAATTCAAAACCAGTTTTGTTTGGCTCGAATGTAGCTTACCACAAACGCCAGATTTCCTGGAATAACACCACCTGAATCCAGCAAGGAAAAAAAAAATCAAGGGAAGCCAGGTGATGGGGGCAGGATGCCTTCCTGGTGCGGCACTGGGAGCACTGGCCATACCCCCCCCAGGGGCTCCAGTAAGGAAGGGTGGGTGCCCCACGGCTCTGCCAGCCCCACTGCGGCCCCTGGCATGCCAAACCCCCAGCCCCACTGCGGCCCCCGGCGTGCCAAACCCCCAGCCCCACTGCGGGCCTCAGCAGTGCAAAGCTTCTACTAAAGGAATAAAAAAGAAAAAAGGTATCTTAAGGTGTTCAATGTTCAAAATGGAATAAATTTGGCATTATAGCAGGAGAGGCAGCTCCTACCACCACAGGCGCTGGCTCGGGTGCAGTGCCCAGCCTTTAGCCACAGTCGTGCCCGAGCACGGTCGCTCCCCCCAGCACAGCCGCGTTCCCACGTGGCATTTGGCCAGACTCTGACTCTTCTCCATAATGCAGCATATTGATATAATAAACGATATACATATACAATAAGATATATATATAAAAAAAAAAAAAAACAGCTGAACAATCAACCGCGATTATACTGCACGGACCTTTTGCAGCCAACTTCTATAAGGCAGAAGTTCAAATTTTTCCACCGCTGCCTTGAGGAGGCGATGGACAAGTCTCTCTGGCTCCTCAAACCCGTATGGTTCAGGGTGTCAGGGAGTAAATGGCAGGCTTGGGAAGTTCGAAACCCCCGCAGCATCGCAAGGACTGGAACCCGCCGCCGGAGGAGGGGGGGGCTGTGCTCGGGGGGTGGGAGAGGGGCCGAGCGGCTCCGGGCTGGCGGTGGCAGCGAGCCTGGGGGCCAGCCCCGTGCTGGGCGGGAGAGCAGGCTTTGATGTACTGCTGTGTGCAAAGAAGCGGCACGTATAAAGAGCAGAGAAACCCCAAATTAAGCTACTCCCACCTGTGTATCTTCCGCCCGCAATTCTGCTTCTGCGCCCGCAGCGCCCGGGCGAGCCTGCAGAGTAACGGCTCGTGGGGGGCGGCGTTTGCATAAAAGGGCTTCATAACACACATCCCGGAGAGGGTCGCTCCCCTTAGCACTTTGCCATCTGTTATTCGGAATTGTACTAATTATACACAGGGCCTGAAAAAGAGAAAAGACATGAAATTGCTTCAATTATTCAATTATTCTTTTTTCTGGGAGGAGTAGATCTTCATTAATAATGTATGTTTCAGGAAGTCCAACGGAAAGATTTCTTTTGCTCCCCCAAACCTACAAAGCCCTTTTTTCAACTTCCACCTCCCAAGAAGAGGAGGAGGAAGGGGCCTTTGCTGCTCTTGGCTGTTGCACAGAAACTTCACCCCAGAGCCTTCCTCCTCCTCCTCCTCCCTCTCCCAGAAGCCCAGCCCAGCGGCGAGGCGGGAGGGAGGCGGGTGAGACCCAGCTTGGGCTCTGCCACCCCGAGCCCCCCGGATTGCTGCGTGCAGGGGCTCCTTCCCCACACAGCCACAGACAGCGTTAGTGTTTCTCTGAAGCACAACACGCGTTTTACTTAAAATGCAAAATTTTGTTGGATTTATACAAAGCAACATACAAAAACTATGTAGCATATGCTTATAAATGTACTTATTTTATAAAGCACCAATGACATCCGATTGCAATTAGGGCTTGGTGAATAAGCCCAGTAGAAAAGGGTCAAAGTTAAATACAAGGTCATGATACACACTAGCAAAGGCTGAATACCACGATGATTATTCTTAAACAGGAGAAATAAGTGTGGTTCATCTTCTAAAAATACCTTTTTTTTCTTCCCTCCCACTTCATTGTGATGTACTTTAAGATTAGCAAATACTAACCTTATTAATATCTGGGATATAAAAAGGTGCTCTAGCTTTTCTCGAAAGACAAGGCTGATAAATCAGCTGCTATTAAGCATTACAGAAGCTGCTTTAAAATTTCCCACATGGCTGATAAATTATACTGGCTTCTCATTTACCAGCTTTTAAATATTTTGTTCATGCGGGCAACTGCTGCTGCACTGAAGAATAAGAAGGGGCTGAATAAACAGAGCGTTTCTTCTTCCGCACCGCAGTAAAGCTTCAAAGAACCGATGAAAGAGCAATAAGGCCCCAACCCCCCCAAAAGGCACCTGCTGCTGCCCCACGGCAGGGGGGTGCGGGGGAGCTGGTGTGGGCAGGCAGGGCCCCCGCCCCGCTGCTGAAGCGACCCCCCAGGGCAGACATATGCTCTGCACGAGCAGCGAGTAACTAACTGCCCCCAGCCCCGGGGGGGTCCCTCCATCCCGCACATGGAGGGGACAAGGGCCGGGCGGGGGGTCCCTGCAGGGCTCTGCCCAGGGCCACCGTGCTCCGGCACGGGCGGGGGGTCACCCAACCCGCGGCACAGGCAGGGAAGGAGGGCAGGACACAATCCTTGTCGAGCCCGAAACGGGCTCTCCCGCCGGGAGAAAAAAAAAAAAAAAGAAAAAAAATCCACAGTGAGGCACAAATACTTCAAAGACATTTGAAAACTTTCTTGTAATTGTTATAGTTAAAATATTCTTAATGTGGCTTCAGTGGTTTTAGATTCTTGTTGCAGTTTAACATCTCCATACATACTGCACAGATTCACTTAGTTTCTGAGCGCAGTTTTCTAAGCCTCGGTTAATTTGAGGCCAGAGACTTAGCAAAGCCCTCGGTCTCTTGAGCTGGCATCTGTACCTACCCTGTGCTCCCGCAAGCCCATCAGCAAGGCGCTCCCGGATCAAAGGGTGTCTCTGCAGCAGCCCCTGCCCTTGCCAGCACAGAGCGAGCCGCGTGTCCGGGGACGCCGCGCAGCTCCGGCTGGAGCCGTGCTGGGGTCTGCAGGGAGCACCCAGCCCGCAGCTCCTGCCCAAATGGAACAAACCCAACCAGTTCAGCGGTTTATTCCTCCCGAGAGAGGCTTTGAAGCGGCTTCTGTGGGGCGGTTAATGAAGGTAATGAATATGCTGAGCAGCACCAGTGTGACCAACAATTTGCCAACAGGGAACAACTTAAAGATACTAGAAAACCAAAAATATTTGCCAAGCTGTGTTTTTCGGGGAGTTTTTTTGTTTGTTTTTTAAACCAGTATAGTACTTCAGCACAAAGTTAAGGACTCAAACTGATAACGGGGGAAACCCTAACTGGGGGGAGATGCTTTATTCCCTCCTCTGATCACCTGCAAGTGTGGATTAATTTTGCTGTCCCCGCGTGGGCCTACGGCTGTATCGGGTTTATACGGGCGATGGGGAGCTGGAGTCGCACTCTTGGGCGTCCTCGGGGGGGTTGATGGAGAGAAACGGGGGAGCCGTGGTGGGAGGCCGATGCCGGGGCCCCGGGACGTGCAGCCGAGGGCTGGGGGGAGCAGGGGGTGCGAGCACGGCGTGCTACACGTGGGGGGGCCTGAGGCTGCCGGTGCTGTGGGGGGCTTTGGCAGGGCAGAGCCCTGGCACGTCCTCCCCACTCGGGAAGCTGCTGGCGAAGCCACGCCGTGACAAGGGCGAGGCTGAGCTTTGCCTTTTGCTATCAAACACCAAATTTCCTTTCAGTCTCTAAGGGTAGATGGGACAGAGCCTTCCCTTGGAAGGGCTCTGGGTAAGAGTTGCTTACTGCAGCTTCAGCCTCTCCTGCCAGAGGCACTGATGTTGCCATTTTCACTGTCTCATTTTGTGCCTCACCAAGCATTTCTAACTCAAAAAGTCTATTTTAGGAACTTAATCAAAAGCATATGCAGTCCAATCAATCATGAATCCATATTGAGGTGCTGGTGGTTAAAAGACATTTACTTCTTGTTCCAAGCAGAGTCCTATAAAAACACGCACAGGGAGGCTGCTGGTAATACTGTTGGCATTTTTGCTTGGAACCTAGGTTTTCCTACTGCCTTACAGGTATAAAGCTTTTTCTAAAGGTAAGAAGGATCACTGCTAGAGGTGCCTTTTGGCTCTGTTGCTCTCACTGCCAAGACCTTCACCGCTTTAGCTCCTCCATGCCTGCCTGGTCAGATTCTCCACTAATTTAAGCGCTTAGCCTTAAGGCACAGCTACACGTCCTCCTCCACGGCCCCCCCAGGCCCCTTCCTGGCCAACAACCATCCTGCCTCCCCTGCCAGGCCTTTCCCAACGCCTGCCATGAGCGTTTCTCTGAAGAACCAGGGGAAATGCCGGGTCCTGCCCTCCCAGGCTTTGCCAGGAGTGGCAGGCACACGCCGCGCTGCGCCTGCCTCGGCCAGGGGGGACCGACAGCCCTGCTCGGGGTGCCAAGGTGGGGGTAGCGGTGCCCCTCAGCCCCCCCCGCTGCTCCCCGATGTGACCCGAAATACTCTCTGTAGAAAGTCAGACCAACAGTTGTGTTACTGAGGCAAACCCCCAAGCCCCTGTCTCCTCAGGAACACTAAGCTGCTGTTAATTAATCCCAAACGAGGGAGAAATAAAACTCCCTTTGGGATGCCTGCTGGCAGCAGAGGGGAGCCCAGCGCGGTGGGTGGGAGCCGGGACCTGCCGGCAGCGTTACGGAGCACAGCGCGAGAGCTAACCGTCCCCAACACGCTGCTTGCTCGCCCGAGCACCGGCGTGTCCCGAGGGTGCTCCGCGCTGCCGAGCCGGGGTCACGCGCGACGCTTTTTAATTCCAAGGGCGGGTTCAGCAGCAGAGTCGGGGAACGCTCCTGCAGAGACCCCCACCCCGGGCTCCTGTCCCCGTCTCCCGGGGCGAGCAGGAGCCCTGGCCCAGCCCCGCTCCCCGCTGGTCTCCATCCCCATCGCAAGCCTCAGCGTCCGTCACTGGTGAGACACCTACCCAACCCCTCCTCCTTCCCTCAGCAGCCGCAGCCAGGCATTACTAAGCATTGACATCAGCGGTAACAGCAGAAATAAACCAACATCTCCCTGGGCTCAGTCCTTGTTTGCTATAGCCACGGTGTGTGCTGGAGCCAACTTGTTATTCCTGTCTGAAAACCGGGATATTTCAGTGACAAAAAGCCCATTACATTGGAATCAAAGACAAGTTTAATTTTTATATTCACCATAATGAAGATGAAAGAACATACCAGTCATTCCATATACGTTCCACCTAAGCAGGCTGCACACGCACAGAAAAAAAAAAAAGAAAACAAAAAAACACAAATAACAACAGAATTATCGAAGATTCAGTGTCATTTGTGCAAAAGAAAACAGCAAGATGCTAGAAGCACCTGTTTGTGGTGTGCTGTGATCAGTTTAAAACCAACAACGAACCAGTGTGTGCTTTCATTATTCAAAGTTTTTAGGGTGTATATTTAATACAGAAAACATTTATATAGAGGATATTTGTCTAAGACTGACAGCTGAATTGTTTTTCAAGCCTACAAAGCTACTAAACTAATACTATTTTTAAAAATTCATGTGTAAAAACCATTAAACCGTTTTAAGGATAATTAGAACACATAACACTTAGCTTATTTGGTAAGTAGAGCATGAACCATGCAGCAGTGCTACTGTAAGGCTAGGACGTTCACAGTCTTCCTTTACCTGATGAATATCCAGTGCTGGTTTGTTACACTATTTCCTTCTAGTATAGGGATCAAAGGAAGTGATTACCGAGTAAGACAGATGCTTTTTTTTTTTTTTTTTTTTCAAAAAAACCCAAACCAAACAAACCCCAAACCCCCAAACTTTTTCACTGTTACAGCCACCTCACCCAGTTTTCAAGCGCTTCCCTGGAGCTGTGCTGGAGAGGGACAACTGCCCAAGCCCAGCGGCCGCGCGCCACGGGCAGAGGTTTCACAAGCTGCCTTGGACTTCATGAAGTTGGGTCCCTCCGCCTCCGCTCGCCCCATCACCCAACGGCAGCAGCGGGACCTCGCCGGCGCGTCCCACGGGACGAGGCGGGGGCCCACGGCCACCGAAAACCTCCCGTGTGCGAACAGCGACCTTGCCCATCTGCACAAGCCTGTGACACAAAGACATCACGACAGAAGAGACGAGAAGCCACCAAGCCAAGATGTGAAGACCCACACGCGGTGCTGAGCCGGCCCTTGGCGAGCCCAGGTAGCGCACGGGCAGGGTCGGGCACGCCAACCCTTCTGGTCTTGGCCAGGAGAGAAATCCCAGGGCAGCCCCAGCCGTTCACGGGGCTCTGAGCCCAGGCAACAGCACTGGAAGAATACTTAGGTCAGAGTTAGAGTGGTTTTCCTGCCAGAGAAGATGAGAAACGTGGCAATCCAGACACTGCAGGGCAACACAAGGAAGACGGCAATCACGCCCAAAACCTCACAGAGCTCCTATTCTCCCCCGCACCCAGCGAACGCCAGCCCGGCGTACCAGAGCAACATTCCTGACTCACAGATTCTCATTTAACCACTCAACGTATCTGTTTAACAGCCGGTGCCCCACAGCTAAATTGACCGGACTCAAGACAAACGTCATGGCCCCGTGAAAGGCGTCCTGGGCGTGGTCATGCGTGACGGGCACGCCCGCGGCCCGGAGCCGCTCGGCGTACATGGCTCCGTCGTCCCGCAAGACGTCGTGCTCGCAGGTGAGGATGTAGGAGAGGGGCAGCCCGCGGAGCCGGGCATCGCTCGCCAGCAGCGGGGCCGCCCGCACGTCCAGGAGCCCCGGGTACTTCTGCACGAGCTCGGAGCTCCCGTAGCTGGGGCCGGCGTAAACGTGATCCTTCTTCAGCTCTTCAGGCAGCAAATTGCTCCAGTTTACAAACTGAAATAAGTGGCTGGCTTCAGCTGGGACATGCCTGTTGGAGGCTATCGCTTCCCACAGAGATGGATCAGAGGCGAAATATTCACTCCAGAACCTGGCCATAAGCAGCTTGGATAAGAGGGGCTTGTTTTCATTTGCTTGGTAAGATGGTAAATTCAGGTCAAGGGCTTGAAGAGCAGGGTAAATCAAAGCTTGGGCTTTGAGTTTAGTTTTGACTTCAGAGTCTTCCAACAGCTGTAGAATAGAAATCATGACAAAAAGTCAGTTAAAAAGTGTTGGCTCTCCCACACCGACAGAAGATCTTAAAAGTAAGGGATTAACACACACGTTTTACAACATAAGCGAAATAAGATTTTCAATAAAACCAGGATAGACTATTTTAAAGAAATTTTAAATTCATAGGCAGGTCACCTAGAACAGTATGTGGTATTAAAAACACTCAAATGTAATTTCACTTTATTTCTTAGGTTGAAGGATAATGCTATTTGGGAAACACTCTTTTTGAAGCATTGATGCTTTCTGAAGTAGTAACAAATGTTTTTTCTGTAACTGCAGAAAATTTCTATTCTTATGGCTTGGAAATTGCAGGTTTCTGAGGCTCCTTTAACAATTTCACACAATTCAGAGCTTAACCATCTGTTTGGGTTTTTTTAACCTGGAGGTGTTAGAACTCAAACAACTATGATTTCGTGCATTTTAGACACGTGAAAAATAAAATGTGATGAATTGAACACTGGCATTTCTTCGATATCATCTTTTTTCCCTCTCCTCACTAATAAATTCCTGCCTTCTCCCTCCTCTTCTGCCCTCAGTGTCCACAGCAAGTTCACAACCTTTTCAAGTGAGATTCATTGCAATCCAAGTAACATCACACTGACTTTATTTAATAAATCTGAGCGAGAAGTGCAAAAGTCACCAAAACTGTGTGTGATCAAGTGACACTGGAACATTTAGTCTTTTTTTTTTTTTTTCTCTGCTATTTACATATATGTGAGTTAAATTGCTAAAATTCCCTTTTCAAACAATATACCTAAAACAGTCAGAATGTGCTTAAGGATAGAGTGCTCTGTGCCCTAATTATAGGGCAGAGAGCCTTTTTTTAGGCTCTGTAAAGGTTTGGAGGACATCCTAGCATCAAAGCTGCTCCGATGCCATTAAATGGCTCAAGTATATTTGCTTGCCCGAGGCTCGGAGCCCTCGCCAGCAGAGTCCCGTGTGACATCCTGCGCCCACGGGAGACACGTGGGGCGAGCTCTTGCTTTGAGCAGAGGTTTCTGTTATTCTTCTGTAAGCGTTCATGAAGCGACCAAACAAAAAATTGAGCTAGCAAAGCAGCTTTGGGGGTTTTTTACCTGTTGTGCCACAGCTGCAGCTAAATTGCCACCTGCACTGTCTCCTGCAACACAGACCCGATCCGGGTCCACCCCATACTGGGAGAGGACGCTGCTCTGGAGGAAGAATTTCGTTACCGAGTACACATCTTCAAACTGAACGGGAAAATGGTATTTAGGTGCCAACCTGTAACTGTTAGAGGCAAGCAGAAGCGTGTTACTTCCTGCTATTAATAAGAGAAAGGCTTGCTAACGTCTGCCCTAGTTGGTGAATGTTTATTATTTTCTGTGCCCGGAGAAATGGGAACTATCTGTCTGTCACGGAGGGTCAAATATTTTATTCCCCACCCAACTTCATAAAGCAAAATCCAAAATAACCACCAACCACAATTTACCACTGCAACCTTGACAGCTTTTGTTTACAAATACTTAAAGCTAACAGGAAAGCACACAATCATAAAAGAAATTGCAAAATTAAATTAACTGAAATAAATTAATTTATTCCAAGCCCTCATCCCACCTGGAAGGAGAATCTCTCTTACTTGGCTGACACCACGACAGCATTTAAGCTGTTTGAAGTCCACCTTGCCAGATGATCATAGGATCTCATGCCTGAAGTGAGAGGAGTCACTTAGAATATACTCCAGTACATTTGAGGACAGACACATATACAACGGCATTGTCCCTCCTTGCAGAAGCTTTCAGGTGACTTTCCAAAACCTCCACCTGGTTTTTACTGGCGAAATACCAGTCCCCAGACCCTCTCTGTGGCAACTCCCATAAAACAACAGGCTGGGCTTCGCGCGGGCCGTGGGGATCGCCCCGGTCCTGGCCGAGGAGCGCTTACCTGCCTGTCCGAGGCACCATCCTCCGCCGTGGAAGTAGAGCACCGCCCTTCGCAGCCCATCAGCCGCCCTTCTGGGCAGGTACAGGCGGACGGCCACGTTGCTGAACTCCGTGTCCGTCACGGTGACGTTTTCATCGGACGTGGGTGCGACGTACTCGGCCGCCGTGATCAGCATCAGAGCTTCCATGTAGTGCACCAGACCCAGCTGCTCAGCGGCCCCAGCCTAAAGCCCAAGGCAAGGGAAAACAGAATTTTAAACGCGGCCTTAGCTGCTCTCGGAGATTAATTTCCCACAGAGCCGGCCGATACCCCGCACAAGTCTCACGCCGCTGTGGCAGTGGCCAAGCCAGAAGCTGCGGATCCGGAGGAGCCACCGTCTCGCATCATCGCGCTGCCCAACTGCCCGGCGCTTCCCGGGCGGGCGGCGGCAGCCCCGGGGACACCACCGCTTCTAGGGCAGCGCCTGGAAGCACGGGCAGAGAGGGGAACAGGGACGCAAGGAGCCGCGGAGGAGAGCGGAGTCAGCCCGAAACCTCCCGCCACCCAGCACCAGGGGCTGCTCGGGGACTCATCTTTCCAGTTACCACAAAACCAAGTAACAGCTGCTCCTGCGACCAACTCCAGAAGCGAAAGCAGCCAAGAAGTTTCAGGATGCTGGGGACACGGGTGGCACAAATACAAGGATATAGCAATTCGACTTCGAGCTGCAAAGTTATCTTTAATGATCGGTTCCATCCCAATAGCTGAAGAGCATTGCTTGGAGCTGAGTACCCTTACATTATCAAAAGGAAATATTTTCTCTACTTCGAGATATTAAAAAGGCAGAAATATATTTTTGCCACGTTACCACAGTTCAGCTCTGTTTAATTTCTTCAGTTTACAGGTAACAATTCCATTAGTTACATACCTCTACGTTTTTCTAGATAACGAAGAAGCGCTCCTACCGAATAGCAGAACAAGAGTTGGGTTGTGTTTATTGTCCGTTCCACATGAGCAGCAGATGAGACAAAATTTCACTGTGCCACGTGCTGCTACACCTTCTGAGGCTTTTTCCTGCTCCGTCATCCTCGAGGAGGATCCAGCTCTGAGCCACACAACACCCTCCCCCTTAGCCGGGTTGGATATTTCACAGCCAAAAGCTCAAACTAACCCTGCCACCAACGTGCCAATTCCCACCAGCCCTCTGCCAGTGAGGCAGTTCCCTGTTAAATGGACGGACAGACGGACAGCTCTGGTGCGGCATCACCGGGGCTGCCCAGCGCCGGCTCCGCTCCCCCCGGCAGCACCAGCAGCCCCCCGGCCCTGGCAGAGCCGCACAAAGGGCCGGGAAAACTTCCCCAATGGGCTCCACAGAAATCCCCTGATGGAAGAGAAGCGATGTGGTTCAGGGAGTTCACCACCCAGGAATCGCCAGCTTTTAATCCTGTCAAAGAAGCGGCCTTTGAAATGCATGTTTTAAATATTTATTATGAAATTCTGTGGGTTTAAATTAGATTATAGTTATTCTAAAATGCCAAATAAAATGAAAACGAAAACCAAACCCCAGGCAAGTAAACCCACAGGTGAAATGCAAGCTCCAAAGATTAATACTGGGCAGCTTTGTCTCTCTGACACTGTGGCAGATTAAAGCATTTCAGAATCCCTTTTGCTCAGAGGCTATTTTAAACCTTGAACATAAAACTTCTTTTAAAAATTCTGTTAGCTTCCCTTATACTGAGTCTTTGGTACACAAGAGCGAACCCAAGAGAAAACCTTTCCAAAGGCACTTGCGACGGACTGTGCTAGAAACGCAGATCCCGACGACTCCTTCCCAAACCAGCAGCGGTCCGAGGGAGGGTCGCGCTTCCTCACAGCTGCCTGGGGGGAACTGCCACAAGTGAAAACGTGACCAGTGTTTGCTTATACAGAAACCTCAGGGGCTTCTTCCCCCCCCCTTTTTTTTTTTCCTCTTACATTGGATTAAACTGTGTTTAAAGAAACTTACTTCTCACATGGCTTTTAAGATATTATAAATGTACTCTAAAAACACATTAAAAATTTGTAACAGACAACAAAATGACATAAAAGAATAACGTCACAATGACTGAGAGGAAAACTAAAGCCTTCATTTTCTATATTGTGAAAGGCAGTGTGAATACCTATTTACACAAAACTGCAGCCACGTTAAAGCCTGACTGTGGGCAGAGCGGGATCTCCGTCACGCGAGACGGCGGCAGTACGAGGAGCCCATCTCACGCGGCCCCTTACGCACCGCACGCTACAGCAACGGGCTGCTGGGGCTGGGAAGTGAAAATAGGGTGGACGGCTTCACGGGTGGGGAGCACGACATTATCTAACTCCTACTGATAGATAAAGGAATAGCTGGGAGGGGTTGGGGGCTGGGGAAGTGTGTGAGGTTTATTTTGTTTGCTTTGTTAGATGATAGAAAGGTGTCAAGAACACAACTACAAATTTGCTTGAAAGCCATTTGCTATCTGACCTGCCGACAGTGACCTAAGAGCTTAGAGTTCTAGTTCATTTCAAGCAAAATTAGAGGAAATTCTGAACTAATTTGTGTATTAGTTTTCAGTCCAATGTGCACTGCTCTTGTGCGCGGTCTAGTTAAACACCCAAAATAAAAACTGACACTCTATGATAATAAAAGCACATTTCTAGATTTCAGGCCACTGTACAATTCTCTGAGCAGGCATAAACAGTCCTGTAATTGCACCAACATAACTTTGATCAGAACGCTCAGTTTGGAAGATAACTGAATTTTACAACAGGCCGACGTTCATTAATCTGATTGGAACTTTTCAGTAAAGCAAACACTCTCCTGACTGGTACAGGCACTGTGTTATCCCCTGCTCAGAAAGGGAATTGCCCAACAGCACCATTGGGGTTGCTGGTTTTTGCACCCTCAGCGTTTCCCGCGGGTAAGGTGCAGGCACGGTGCTGCAGCGAGCGAGCTCCTGCCATCGCCACCAGCCCCAGCACACAGCCCGGCTTCCCACACCACTTCTGGCTCCTCACATCACGGCAGAAGCGATTAAATAATATAACTAAGTTCTTGCATGTCATCTGAAAACAGATTAACCTCAAAGGAGGTTTGAGTCTAATGAGAAATAAAATAGCCCAGCCTGCTGTGGAAGCTGTCAGAAGTTTAGCTTTCCAAGAGATGATTTATTCTTATTATTAAATTATTATCCTATTTATAGGAAGAATGTAAAACAGACACAGAACCCCACACACTGCAACTTGAAAGGCGTAGCACCTGGTATTCAGGGTTTGGTGTTGTAAATCACACAATCTGACCCTGCTTGTTTTGCTTTTTGTAGCTTTTTTTTTTGTCCCTTTAAATGACATTTAAATCAACTATTTAATCATCTTCTACATACAACCTACTCCTTTACAGGTTAGAAGAGACGAGACTACAGCTGAGACCTTACTGGCAGTACTCGACAGTGGCTGCCACCGTGTTCAGAGCCACCTCTGAAGGGTCGGACCGGGTGCCGCCGGGCGCCCCGCCGGACTCCGCGGTGGGACGGGGCGGTAGCGGGCACGCTGTGCCCGAGGAGACCACAGGCCCCTGACATAAGCTCAGTGAGGCACATACGTACACATGCCAAAACTCCATCGTTTCATCCACAGTGACTGCACCATTCACAAATAATTCTCAGCTGTTGTATTTTCCATGACGATTAGCATCTTGAAAAAAAATAGATCTATAGGTCAAAGCGAGTCCTGCTGTAATTCCACTGGGCTTGTGAAACTCTCCCACGTCGGGAGGAATTCCCTCAGCTTCAGGACTGAGGCTTTTCAATGCTTTTCAAAGCTGTTTTTTCCACAAGTGGGCATTTTACATTGTGGAAAACCACTGGTCTACTGTCCATGGTTTCAAGGCCATTATCATATAAAAACAAAAGGAAATCATACCCTCATCTGAAAAGTCTCACTGTCCCCGATCTGCGATTACTGCGTGCTAGAGGGTAAGAGGAAAACCAACCATGTTGGGGTTTTGTGTGTTCCTTGTGCTTTGGAAAGCACTTCCCACAGTCACTACCTCCGTTTTCCGTAAGGGGAGCACGGCAGCAAGGACAAACCCCCCCCCAAAACGTACGGCCGCGGGGGGAGCCCCGCCGTGCCGAGCGCCTGGCACCGCTTGGAGCGGCTCCTTTCCCCAACCCCAGCCAACGCCAGGAGGGAAGCGCTGGGAGGATTTCACAGACCTGCCGCCAGGAAAGCGCTCCGCTAGGAAGAAAGATGCCGTGTTGCTTTTTTACACTTGCTTCATGCATCTTACCTTAGACTGCGTGCACATGGTGCTTCCTGAAAATACACAAATTTGCGCTTAAGCCCCACAGAAACTGGCCAGTTTATTCTTAGAGGCTATTCCCCAGCTAGACAGCACGTAGACATGAGACATTATAACACACATGAACGGAGACATTCCCATCCTCCCTTCCACAATGAGACGGGTACAAATGGACTCTTCGGCCGGCTGCAGGCAGGGCAGCAGTACTTCCCTTTTTTCAAACCAATATCAGGGAGTCAGAAAGATTAAAATAGGGTCAGCTCTGCAAATTTACACTTACTATTAAATGATTATGAAATGTTGCCCTATAACTGGATGACCATTCAGGACGTCCTTAGGGCACTTCAGAGCCATCTCCAACCTCACTGGCACCGGCGCTGCTCCAGGGAGGCTGAGCTTCAGCAGAGCCCCTCGGGATCACGGTTCTGCCTCGGATTAGAGCACAGCTACGAAACTCTCTTGCCCGGCACCGCTGGTGCTGCCGATGGACCGCGGCCTCCCCGGGCACCAGCTCCCTGCTAAAGGGAGCACACGCCGTCCTCCAGCGCCGGCAGCCAGCGCTTCTGCTGGCTGAGCACCGCCGTGCCGAGGGCTCCGGCTCCGGCCGAGCTGCCCCGGGGGAAGGGTTATCTCTGCACGTACCCCCCCGGCAGCCTGCCCCCCAAAGGAGATTTAGGAGGGGGAGAAGCGAGGCAGCACCTCAGAAGCGCAGACTACAGTTTCTCTCTCCCCACTTCTCCATCTCCCACCACTCAGACCATCAAAACAAAGAAGCAAGCAGCAAAGGGTTCATGAAGAAACACACACAAAAAAAAAAAAAATCACACCCCCCCCCCCCGCTCCTTCTCCTGGCGGGACAGCCCTAACGAGGGGCCTCTGCTGCAAGCAAAGGCTGGCTGACACGGGGACGGCTCTGGAGAGCGACGCTGCCCAGAGGTGTGGTGTTCAGGGGCCATCCCAAGAGAACGGGCACCCTTGCTTCCACCAGAAAAATCACGAAAGAGGTGGCTACCGCAGACTTCTGAAAATCACACCCACTGAAACAGAAAAGGGAAAATCCCAAACTCGGGCGCTTTGGAGCAAACAGCGCGGGTGTTTGTGCTTGCACCAGACAAGTCTTTCAGCGGCATCCCTCAAGCAAAATTAGAAACCTCTCTCCTGGCTCCTTAGACCCTCCTTCCAATACATTCTATAGCGGATAAAAAAAGCAGTTTCAAAATGTTGTAGCCACACAGAAAGATGCCTTGCAACACTCAGCCCCGCACCCACAAAAATACCCTTCATCTTTGACCTTGTTTTTAGATTTCAGTTGCTGCTGCAGCCACTGTTGCATATTAAGTACAGGCAGGATTGAAAACAGCTCCCCGGTTAATGTACTTCAGAGGTGGGAACTACAGCACTGTTATTTATGCATGGTGTGCAGCCCCCCAGATTATTTACGTATGTTTGAAATGGCTGTATAGCATGACTGAAATGAAGTCAGGGATGTAGTATGTATAAAAATAGCATGGGAAGACCTCAGGACTGCATTGCCAGTAAATATCACCCTACAACTACAGACAGGCTTTAATCTCACTGCCTTTCCAGTCTGCAACATACTCTTCTGTACTGCTTAGCTAGATACCATTTTTTGGTAGGGAAGACTACAGTGGTATTAAAAAAAAGTTTTTAATAGCTTAATTTATAGATGCTCTAGCATTATCAGCCCTATAATTGGCTTTGTGTAGTTTTTAGGATCATTCTGTCAAGCGGATTTCTAGGAAACCACAAAAAGCAATAGCATTTAAGGAGCGCTCTAGTTTTCCCTTCTCTGACACCCAATAAAATACTTCTGAGGAAGCTTTATATACAAGTTCGTGAGAAACAGGAAAAACTCAGGGAGCAGTGCTTCACCTGCAAAGGATCGTAAAGATTTTGCCCTTGCGTATCCATATTCAATATCACATTTCCAGTTACTCTAAATATCCTTTTTCAAGACTGCACAGTTAAATCTTTCCTAAATTTCTTTGTAGTCATAGCTACAGTAAGTTTAATGGTTAATCTCAGACACTACTGTCCTTCACGTAGTATATTACCATATATACACATATTACGTATGCATATATGACACGTACATGCTGCCATGGCTCTGTGAGCTGCAGAGGCACTCAGGACACCCTCTGCTCCGTAGCGGTCTCTCCCGGAGGCCAGCCCTGCCCCAAACTCACCAGGTGCCCGATGGCCCTGAAGCTAGCCGAGATGAACATCACTTTCCAGGGCTCCCCCATGTCCTCGGGGATGGGGGTGTAGATGTAGTAAGCGACGAGGGCAGAGGCGAGGAAGAGGCACAGCAGCCTGGCTCCCATGTCTGGGGGTGCACCTCCTCCCAGACTGACCGGGCTGCACGCTCTTGCTGGCTTTTAACAGCCACGAGCCAGCACACACGCACGGGGCAAAGTTAATCTGTGTTTTGCTTGGGTCCTGGCCAGGAGGTGATTTCTCATCAGATCGCCCAGGGCAGAGGTTACTCCAGCTCCCTCCCGAGAAGAAAATATTTCCTCAGCAAGGCATTCAGCCACTCAGGGCTGACCGAGCCGGCACTTCAACCCCAGATTAAACATCGAGGCTCCTACCCCACCATCACACCCTTTCTGGCATTTGGCAACAGCAGCCACGAGGAGGGCTTGGGAGGAAAGAGGCGGTTGAAAAATAAGGAACAGAATGGGGCTTGTGAACCGAGGGCTGCCACAAAGCATGCGGAAAGATGTACTGAATATTCAGGAGCTATTTGCTGCTTCACAAGGCAGCCGTACAAACAGGGCCCAGCCGACAGGCGCCCAGCAGGATCAGGCCACGGCAGCGCAGGACCCACCATCGCCGCTCGGGCAGGGCAAGCGCCCTCCTGCTCTGGCAAATCGCACCCTTCAGCTTGCACCAGCACACAGAAACAGTTGTGCAATCATCGGCTTGACAGAAAAAAAAAACCCAAGCAAAACAACTTCTACAGGGCAAGGCTCCTCGTTAATATTTGAAAGGTAACATTTAATTGCCACAGTTCTCAGGATTAAGAGATTTCTACGCATCTCTGAGGCAACTAACACTACAAGCACAGCCACACGCACAGAAAGAGGGGTAAAAACAATGGCTGCAGCACCCAGAACCCTGCCTTAGAGATAAACTGAAGAGGTTAAAAGCTCAATTAAAATTTGAGTTATTTCTGTTGCTAAAATCTTACCAACTGCAAAGCAGCGCTGCCCCGTGTTCTCTCAGCCTGAGCAGCCCCTGGGGACGGAGCACCCTTTGGAGGACCAGAGAGCACAAAGCATCACAGAAGACCGAAAGCCGAACTGTGCGTCACCAGCCCAAGTGCAGAGTAGGACTAGGCCCTGGTCAAGCTTGCAAATTTTTTCTTTATATAAGCTCTTGTTTAAGTATTGTCTATACTATTCTCCAAAATATTCAAGTGTGTTAAAAACCCAGCTGTGCCCGGGACGGGACACGCCGTCCTCCCGCTGCCCAAGAGCGGGTCAGAGCCCGACGTTCTTGACCCCACGCCAACAGAACCGAGGGGACACGCACCGCCGGGTGCTGGGGGGGGGGGGGGGTACCGCTGGGTGCTGGGGGGCACCGCCGGGTGCTGGGGGGGGGCACTGCTCGGTGCTGGGGTGGGGGGGCACCGCCGGGTGCTGGGGGGCACCGCCGGGTGCTGGGGGGGGGCACCGCTCAGTGCTGGGGTGGGGGGGCACCGCCGGGTGCTGGGGGGGGGGGGGCACCGCTGGGTGCTGGGGGGCACTGCTCAGTGCTGGGGGGGGGGGGCACCGCCGGGTGCTGGGGGGCACTGCTCAGTGCTGGGGGGGGGGGGGGCACCGCTGGGTGCTGGGGGGGGGCACTGCTCGGTGCTGGGGGGGGGGGGGGTACCGCTGGGTGCTGGGGGGCACCGCCGGGTGCTGGGGGGGGGGGGCACCGCTGGGTGCTGGGGGGCACCGCCGGGTGCTGGGGGGGGGGGGCACCGCCGGGTGCTGGGGTGGGGGGGGGGGGGACACCGCTGGGTGCTGGGGGGGGCATCACCGGGTGCTGGGGGGGCCGAATCCGGCCCGGCGGGGGGGAGGGTGCCTTGGCCCCTCGCCCCAGGTGCGAGCAGCAGCAGGGCTGAGCCTGCGCTCCCTGCACACCCCCCCAACCCCCCCAGCACGTGTGTACATGCAGCTCAAACCCCATCTTCTCTCCTCCGCAGCTCAGATCACCCGAGTCCCAGGGGCTAGCTTCGGAGGTGGCAAAACGCAGATAAAGGAGCCGGGTTTCAGGCAACAAGGGAGGAGAAGGCCCAGCCTGGTGAAGAGGAATGGAGAAGGTGGAGAAGGAGCCCTGTGCTCCCTCTGCCCTCCCCAGCAGCCACGAGAGCTCCCGGGACAGTTTGCTCTGCGCGGCTGCCGCTCGCTGTTTCGGCACGGGCAAACAGCATGGAGGAAGACGTGGCCAGGCCTGGAACTCCCACAAAACTGGTCTATTTATTCTGTTGCATTTAAGGATTGGTTCACTCTCTCCTCCCGCGCCAACCTCCGGCTGGAGCCGGGCTGTGCAGTTACGGCCCGTACCTCTCCTGAGGCAAGAGCTCGCAGTGCTCAGCCCCCAGCACCAACATCTGCCCCCTCCTGCCCCCAGCAAACCGCCGCAGCAACCTGCCCGAATTCACACTGATATTGCGTAAAGAGAATAATAAATTGAGTTCACCATTTACCCAAGGCAATCCTAGCGCATCAGCTTCAAGATGCAAGTGCCTGTACCCTGCCAATTTTATTAGAGCCCTTTCAGTAGAAGGGACCCGCTGAGACAGCACAGGACCCCTCTCAAACGGCGGGGGGGGGGGGGGGAAGGAAGGGTGGGGTGCCAAATAAATCCAGATCAATTCCATGCAGCGGTTACCCTTCGTGTCACACCCCAATTTCTAGCTGCCACGCTGCTCCCGCTTTTCGGAGCCCTGCACCAGCTCCCACCACGGCCAGTTTGCTGTTGCATCCCGTACTCCCTCTTTCTAAAGCAAACAACCCTCATGTTGCTGCTCTTCCTGCATACAGCGTATCAACAGGAGTCACGCAGCCTGCCCTCCTTCCTATCTTCACCATTTTCACAGATCCCAATCTACTGGTGTTTCAGAAAATAAGAAAAAAAAAAAACCAACGTAAACGTAAAGGTCAGGGCTAAAACTGCAATGGAAAGAAGAGCAGTCGGAATTTCAGCCTGCCATAGTGAATTCCCCCCCCCGCCCCGCCGAGCGTCCCCTGCAGCCCCCGCTCTGTGCCAGACGATCGCGGTCGGGATTGCCTGTCACTGCATATTGCACAGCCGTGGACAGACTCACGAACTCACTCAGACACTGACCCACTACCTCAATAAATCAGCCCTGCTAAAAATAAGTATTGCAACATCAGATCGAATTTTCAAGCTGTGGTTTGGAAGGAAGAAATATGTGAGCTTATAACTTACATCTGCTCATAGCAGCAATACCTCTCCACCTCTCTGCCACTCCTATTGCCTTTCTACTTGCTGCACTCTCACAGCATTACTGTGAAAAAAATCAACCAGGTCAACCAAGTTCTGCTCAGACTGACCCCTAGGAAACTGCTTGTCTTAGGAAAACACACCAGGAAATAAACCTCTTCAAAGCAGAAAGCATTTACAAGGCTGTCCAGAAAAAAAAAAAAAAAAAGAGTATTATCTAGCCTAAATGGGAGATAATTGAGTATAACCTGGTTGTGACTCAGACCCTAATAATAATATAGTGCAAGATACAAGACCTAAACAAATGATTGATCAAAGACTGTAGTACAATCCTCTTATCCACCTTTAAGGCTGCTGCCAATCAGATTTATTTCTAGAGGAAAAAAAATAAATTAGTGATTTGTATAAGATTATTAATATTTGACTTACTGCAAAGTAATTTTTTTTTCCTTGTCTGTTAGTGTAGGTTCGGTAGCTGTACGGGGGCCTTCGGGCTCAGGGTTAGGGTACAACCCTAAAGCAGACACGCGTTATGTCACACTCTGGAAAGATAACCATGGGCTCGTTTAGGAGCTTTTGTCAGTGAAACACGAGAGTACTAGAAGCTTATTACATTTATGTATCAATCATTACACTTTTTTCATGTCTGATTTTATTTCTGCGCTTCTGGAACAACAAAAGCCCTTACAGTTTTTAGACATGGGCCACTTTCTTCTACCAGCCACTCCCGCAGGCCACCTGTACGTACCACTGGGGACACTTTGCTCGCTCACCCCATCGCTGCTTTGAATTTTTCCTTCAGTCGGGCCGTGGGACGGTAATTTGGATATCACTTGCATGAGCCACACGCAAGTCTCCGAGATCAGTTGTGTGAACGGGTGTCACACCCAGAGCCCATTTAGCAGATGCTGGATGCTGACTCCCCGGTCGCACGGGACAGTCACCTGTGCCCGGCCCGAGGGCACTGAGGGGCATCGGTGGCCCTGACCAGCCTCACCTGGGGACCCCCCCCCAGTCCCTGCCCAGCATCCCGGGGCCCCCCAACCTTTGCCCAGGCTGTGTCCTGGGGGTCCCGTGCTACCCTGGCACTACTGCGTGTGCTGGGCACGTCCCCGGGGTGCTCCTGGCAGTGACAGCACCCCCCGGGCACCCCACAGACACTAACCTGGTCCTGCGATGTTTTTACACATCGACAGTGAGAAGGGTCACGTCTTCACTGGGGAAGGGAGTAACAGGTCGCCAAAATAGCAGCCAAGGGCTGAAAGAGGCAGCGGGCTCCAGGCCGGAGCACGTTGGCCACGCTGCGGGTACCCGGCCGGGGGGGCAGGGGGGCAGCGCCCCGCGCCCGCCGGGAACAGGCACCCCGGGACGGGGACGGCCAGCCGCCAGCACCCGGGCAGGGATCCCGGGGCAAAGGACGGAGACGCAGGGGTTGAAAGGGGATGGGGGAGAGGGGAGAAAAAAAAATTATAGCCACAGCCCCAGGGCCAGGGGGTGATGCGGTCAGAAATGTGTCCCCAGCTCAGCGGGAGGAGGCGGGGTGTCCCAGCCCCCCCACCAACCGCGGCTGCTGCGCGGGGCTGTAGCTGTCGTACGGGGACAGAAGGAAAAGCAGAAGTGCTCTAGTTAGTTACGCTCTACACCAAAGTGGTTTGTTTTTTTTTTTCATTCCGATGCAGTATTTTAGGAAATAGCCTGAAAAGCCACCGGGAGGCACTGCGGCACTGCAGGAGTTTTCCTTTCCACCCAACAGTGGTACTCGGGGGCATCCAAAGCCCAGGGAGAAATACAGGCTCTGCGAGTCCTCCTCCCTCAGCAGGGCAAGGATGAGCTGTGCCTGGCACCCAGAGACTCCCAGCAAGGACAC